TGTGTGCTTGCATTCTTTGTTAAAGGATACTGTTACGTATATTTAATTATCTATGGTAAAAGACTTTTTGTATGACATAAACTTCATTGTTAAGGGTTTAATTGCGTATATACATGTGTATATAAAACGTTTATTTTTATCATTATTCTTTTATTTTTTTAAGTATCTTACAACTCCTTAATGAAAGGTTTTCCACGTGTCCAAGTTATGGTCTTTATTGACTAAAAGTTTTTAATTTTATTTCTGGTTAATGTATTTCTAAAAGTTTTTACATTATTTCATGATGTCTTATTTTGTATTTTAAATTTTAGATACAGGATTTTTGTTGTATTTGAATGCAGCTCTTTGTTTGAGGGTTGTGTTGTCTATGTTATGTGTAACTGTTTGTAGGAATGAGGAAAAGTTAACATACTTCTAGGCCATGTTGAGAATTTAAAATTAATTTGTTGGTTAAGATTAATTATTGACTCGAGAAAACGCCTGAAAAAGAGGACAAATAAAAAGAATGTGAAATGCAGGTATATCATTCATTCTCTGCTTCCTTGTTTTAGTGTAGGAAATTTAAAATTTTTTTCATGTAGCTTATTTCTATGCAGTTTCACATAAACACGTGGTCCAGAAAACAGTTGAGTTAATTTTGTTGGAATTATTTTTGTTCCTTTGTTGTTCTCTTGTAGATAATACCTACTCTGCCCACGAAATTACTATTGCAACTTCGTACAATGTGCACCAGTTCAATGATAGCATTATCCTTCACTGGCTAAATAGATGATATCTAGAAGCTATGGCTGTAACACTATTATATGGGAGTAACCATTCACATGGGTAACTCAAGTCATTATAAATAAATCTGATGTTAAGTAAAGAGCCTTAGAATGGCACATGTGGGTCACTCGATGGAAAGATATCTTGAGAGACTAAAACTACTGCCTGATTCACTGATCGAGTAGAAGGCAACAATCCAATGTCCTAAACAAGTTCACACTCACTGAGTTTGTGTTTTGAGATATAAATAAATATTGTTTTACACTTTACATCACGTGTCGGATTTGTTTACTTTCGTAGTTTAAATTCAGACATTTAGTCAAACTAAGATTTACTCTATAATTGCTCTGCATGAATCTCCCGTTACAAAATGGGCCTATAAAATACTCCTTGAGGAAATCAATTAATCTGAGCATACCACAATACGACGTAAGTTTAAGTGTAAGGGCACAAAGAATCCTCTTACATAACGTATTTTTCTATTATAGTAAATCGTAAAGCAAAAACTTCTTTATGATAATTGTCAATCTAAATGTTAGTAAGATACTTGTGAATACTAATTATTCTTACTACAGTAAACTTTGACTTTGTGATAACAATTGTCTTAAAAACTCGTTCAAAGATAGAATGTTCATAGAATCGTGCTGCAAATACAGAGTATACTGTATTATTTATATCGATGATAACAAATAATAATTTCTAAGGCAATTTAACAAACCATTGGCTCATAGACCTCATCATCTTCAGATGACCAGCAAAATCACTGAGGTTAAAAGTTAACCATAACAGTTAAAAGAATGACCGTGATGGTCAAAGATGATCCAGACGATTAGCAAAGTTTATCCAGATAAGCGGAAGAATCACAGTCGTGTTCAAAGCTGATCCAGCCAGTTAGATGGATCATTGTGAAACTAAATTCTGATGCAGTAGATTAGATAAATCACTATAATGAATGATGAATAGATGAATGTAATATTCAAACCAGATTCAGATAGCTAGATGAATCACCGTGATACTCAGATTTGATCGAGACAGCAAGATAAATCAATGTGATATTCAGAAAAGATCAAACTAGCTAAATGAATGACTGTCATTCTCAATTCTGATTCTGTTTACTGAATACATTTTTGTGATGCTCAAAATCTAAGACCACAAAGATCACTATTAGGTTCATAATTGACAATAATGAATAACATCTAGATGTTCATCACAATATCTGAAAATATGATAAATATAATGATTATCATGAGTTTCAAAGTTAAGCTAGATAACTAATTGATTTAATATGAAATTCCAAGGAAATTAATATAGCCATATTTAACATGTAATTTTGACTGGATTTAGAATATTCCAAATCAGAACATAGAAAATTTTAAATATTGGAAACATGGAACATATCAGGCAGGCGGTAGCACTGCCTATGTAGGGATGGCTCGGATTGTTCATCGAAATAATATTTTAAATATCTCTTCAGTACGTAATCAGAACTTTACAATATCATACAGTGTTTCCTTTTATAACAACATCTATATAATGACCGAATCACAAGTTCAAAGATGATCCAGACGATTAGCAAAGTTTATCCAGATAAGCGGAAGAATCATAGTCGTGTTCAAAGCTGATCCAGCCAGTTAGATGGATCATTGTGAAACTAAATTCTGATGCAGTAGATTAGATAAATCACTATAATAAATGATGAATAGATGAATGTAATATTCAAACCAGATTCAAACATCTATATAATGACTGAATCACAAGTTCTGGGAATGTCTGTAAATACCATAGCAAAAAGTTTGAATTTCTTGTTCTTCTTTTTTTATTACCTGATAACTCAAAAACAAAAACAATGGAGTCAGCTACATTCACTGAGGTAACATAGTTTCCAATGGAATATTCACTTTTATAAGCATTATTAATAACTAGTAGTAATTAAAAACATCATAAGTCTAGTGTAAACGATATTATCATTATCCCTTCAAGTTAGCTTTCTTACAGAAATTTGGTGTTCCTTTAGAAACCTTATGTACAGGGTGACACAGGAATTACCAACTAATAATAGATAAACAATAAATATTACAGTTGGAACATCATTGTGTTTAGAACTTGGTTATAAATACAACATTTCCTATGTTTATTTAAACACTGCAATAAAAAAAACAATAAGCGATCAAGTAAAGAAAAACTTTTCAGAAAGGAAGTAAATGTTGGATTGGCTGATATCAATTCTTTGAAAACAATGCAAACAATATATCCATACTATCTTCTTTGTACTGTTATTGAAGGATTGATATTAGCCATCCCTATATTTACTTCCTTTTTTGAAAGTTTTTTCTTAACTGGTAGAATTAAGAATTGGTATCTCGAAGAGCCAGAGAATTGGAGAACATATTCGAGATACCTGGGATTTGAAATAGTTGTTCTGTGACCTTAAAGTTAGTTCAGATCTACATATAATAAATATAGTATTTCAAAGAAAATAAATATTAAAAGAAATTAATAAATTTGAATTTTAACTTCGACATCAGCTACGTCTTGAAGATCACCTTAACGATGTTCAACTAAACTATTGGATGGTGAGACACGTGATACTTGCATGTCACAATATAATGGTTAAACTATAGATGTGTTTCCTACTTTAGTATTTTTGGACTTTCTCGATACTGGTTATTCTAAACATATGCTTTTTGTGATACTGCAAAGAAACATATCCACAATCCCAATATGGCTGCTGACTCAGGAAAGGGAATTGCAGCCTGGAACATACAGAGATGCTGAACAGGTTCTATCCCTTAGTTTAGACCTCATCGCATAGAATGTATGGATGATTGAAAGTTGTAACAGTGGTTTTCTGACTATAGTCTTTGGGACAGAGAATGGAGTTCTTTATATGGTACGCAGATTATAGTCAACTAGGTCGAAACTAGTGATTGTCACCCATGGCAAGGATGAGACTGGAGGTGCCTCTGGTGGATTAAATCCACTGATTAGATCTGTATCACCTTCAGCAGTGACAGTGAACATAAAATGTAGAAGATAGTGACCCCTGGGTCAGACGTGAACTTATCCACTTAGAAAATCATTTTATTAGAGACACAATTGACATTGGAGAACTCCAGAGTCACGCAGAGCTGAAGGCTAACCTTTATATAGCGACTCGTCGTGTTGATAACTAAAAGCAAGGACCAAATGTTTTTAAATGTCGTGTCACTGTATACTAACAAAATCCTCCAATTACCACAATTACTTGGTGAATATTACATTGTATATCTTCTTTTACTGTATACGAACCTGCTAGCACTCTCTGTAAATTCAACAGTACCTACAATTTGGATTTATATTTTTCAACAAGGTGGTTGTTGTGCACAATTTTTGTGTTAACTGCTTTTACGTGTGATGTTGTGGTTGTATTTGTGTTGATTACATGAATATAACTTTGGAGTTATTTGTAAAATCAAACATGATTTTATATATTTAGTTAGATGTATATAACTCGTATCGGGGAGTAGATCGGATTTTAAATGTCATTTGACTCCTAGGGTTAGAGAAAGTTTCAGTCAAATAAATAATGATCCATACACGGGGCTCTGCTGAGGCAAATAAGTAGCGGTGGGAAACATGTCATTTCTGGGGTGGTAGCTGGAGGAATTATTGCAGCAATAGCCTGAAGCACTGATCCCACCCCTTCCTGAAGCGTATTGGATTTTACATCCAGAGTTGCTGGATCAGCATCTATTGGGCAGGATGCGTGTATGCACCCCTGCTTGCCCATACTGCCCACTCAAGTTTGTCTTCAAATCTATGTTACTGATTGAACTGTTGGTTTACCTGTGACCTGCCATCCAGAACATTTCCAAAGTTGGCTTGTCAAAAGAGCCATAAGTCGTGTCAATTGCCTGACATACCCATTTTATCATGATGGAAGAATGCATCTCGTCGCATGATAAAATGGGTATGTCAGGCAATTGACACGACTTCATTCTTCCATCATCTCGTCGTGAATGCATTTTTCTTACAAAAATACTTCACATTATTAATATGAGTTTATTACCACTATCAACTAATGAGTTTATTTTTGATACATAATATCGTGATTACTGTTTAAAGGAGATTTTATTATGTATTATATGTATAGAGATGTTATTGTGAATCAGATTTAAAGGTACTTGTTATTGTGCTTCTGTATTGTATGGTAATGTTTCATTTTGCAAACAGATTATTATCAATGGATTTATTTTCATTAAGCACATTATGCTTATAATGGGAACTGATGTTATATGTTATAGTGTGTCTTATTTTACTGAGTAAACAAAACCAGTGATAACAGATTTCTTATGTATTTCTGTCTTTTCATATTGCCATTGACTTTCATAAGGTCTATTGTGTTATATGTAAGATATTCAATAATTATTATTAAGAAGTGAAATTATTGTTAATTTGAGTTTGATTAGTTTCATCAAAGTGTGTTTTCATTAAATACTACATTTTGTACTTAGGATTTATCTTTCTCTTTTTTATTTTGTAAAAAAAAAGTGTATTGTAGTATTTTTAATTATTATTTTGATCCCTATGAAGAGATTCCTTTTGAATTTGGATCACTGTGAATTGTAGTATTTAAAACGTGCTGCATTATATATTTTTACATAATAATTATTGCTGTTTTGTAAAGGGCTTGTTTTCTGAAAGGTTTTGATTTTTTGTATTCTATGAATTTCATTATATTTCTACTGAAGAGTGCTGATTATAATATTTTATACAACTCATTTGTGTTAAACAGTTGTATTTTGTAATATATTTTTGGTTTTAACAATTACGTCTCCCTCATGTTTCTCTCTTTTTGTTCCGAACCATAATAATTTTGCACCACTCCACGGGCCAATCATCTTGAAACTTACAGTGACCAATTAAACCATTCTCTTTTGAAGTATACTTTATTCTGAAGATCTTATTGAATAAGGTGGATGTAAGGATGTTTATTACATTCGCTTGTGAATGTTGGCCTTTTAGTTTAAATTATGTTTTTCTCCTTTTATAATGCGTCTAACATTATATTAATGAATTTCGTGTTATTGTATGAATACTGTTTTATTCCTTTATCATTTGTTTGTCTTTTAAAATTTTCGAGCAAAGCCCACTAAGGACAGCGGTAACTTTACAAACTTACAATGCTAAAATCCGAGGTTCGATTATCCGCGGTGGTTACAACAGATAGCCCAGTGTAGTTTTGCTTAACACTAAGGCTACCTCTGCACAGCCATCCTTATATTTGAACTGATAGACTAAAGGGCAGGCACCAAGCCAACAATGGGATTTGACCATCACTCTTATAGCACATCTATGGTCAAAAAGTGCGTAGCGTATTTTTGAAGCAGCATGATGCACGTCATAATATTTTAAGATTCATAGTACGGGCAAGCTAACCACTGGGCCACACCAGACCATTTTTCGTTCATTGCTAAATAGCTACGTCATACTTTGTTTGATGTTAAACGATGGTTTTGATTTTTTAAAGCGTAATGTTTTTCCAATGTTAAATAGTTTGTATTGTAATATTAAATTGTATTACGATTTTGTAACTGGTTTTTGTGAAAATGTCATGATTTCGTGCCTTCTGTACTTGTAGTGCAGCATAAATGTCAGACGCAAGAGTAAGGTACTGTGGAAGCGTGGCTTATTCACGTCTTTTTAAAAATATTATGAGTTTTTGAATTTCAAAGTTAGATATGATTGGGTCGGCCTGAAGAGAATTGGGAAGAAGGAGAAATGTAGAGATGTTTGAGAAAATGAAAATTTAATTTTTCTTTTAATTAGGAACGGTGAAAATTTTAGTTGACCTAAATTTTAAAGCGTTTTCCTACCTAAACACGTTCGATATACGTGTTGTACTGGACGTGCAATTTAAATGGCTATGATATGTCATGACCTTATTTCTTGTGCTAGTCATATACATTCAAAATATGTGTTACACTTTGGTATTTTTGGACTTTGTCACTGATGTTGCAGGAAGTCTATTTTTATCTAGTATCTGTGTGCTCTAGTAACGCTTGTGTGTTTAAGTCGAAATATTTGGACATTATTTATTCTATATCTTTGTTTATGGAATGATCAATGATGCGGGTAGCTTATGTACTCTGGGAGAATTGACTTTATTTGTTTATGTCAGGTTTTTATAGAGCCGGGTTCTTTACAGTAGGTGTCTTTGACTTGTTGGTGATAAATTTCAACAATAAACGGGAAGTACACAATCCACTTGTTTTAAAATAATATATTCAAAACAAATGAAACATATGTACAAAATGTCGTTACACTATTGGTTATCATAGTTGTATCCAGAAGTTTAATCAAATTGTTTCCTTTTCGTCAAAGTCCACAAAGGCGGTTCAGTTACTTTAAAACATCCTCTGACAAGACAAATTATTCTCCTCTATCTCTGTTATTACACAACAAGCTGTGATACTCACGATAAAACTATGTTATCATCTAATAATAATGTTAATTATACATTATCATTTTGAATTTACAACATATAAAGATGTTATGTGGAGTCTGTATCTCAGCTAGATATTTAATAAAGTTTGGGAAACTATTTATTATTTTACACGTAATTTGCCAACATTGTGAGAGAGTGTGTTGTACAATCTCAGAGATGGGAAAGCCATCGATATTTCATAATACTCTAGATACGACACAAGGACAATGAAAATGTGTCACGAAGCCACCTTCTTGGTGCCGTTAATATTTATTCGATAGTTATAGCCTGTCTACAAAAATAATTTTAGGTAATTTTTCCCATTTAAGTCTTTGACCGATTATATAAAATGACATTCTCTTCTATTTTGAGTAATGTGACTTATTGTTCATGTTTAATTCACTGTAAATGTTATTATCATTCTTCGAGGTAGATAAATTATTCACAAGTGCAACTACAAATGAGGTTACAACATTTATTAATAAGTTGGCGCTGTACATAATTTCTTTCAAAATGATGAATAGATGAAAATCAAATAAAACTTAAGAATAAATGTCTTCTTATTTAGTACATATTATAATATAATATTTTTTTACCTAATGCAGGATTTCCTATTTGTCTCAATATGGTACTTTTTATTTTGCATCTTGTATTCGTTTTTCTTTTTATACTCATTGCTATAATATTTATATATTCTGTGTCTCCCCATGGTATTGTATTGTACTGTATTTATTTTATGTCTTAATTATTAGTTATTTTTTGCTTTGTTACAATAAAAAACATTGAAAAAAAACAACATTTTTGTTGAACTGCTTTAACGTGTTATTTATACTGGACTATTTCTGAATTTAACTTGTACACTTTAATAGTCCTTAATTAGTTTTACTTTGTTCTGTTGTTGCTCCCTGTGGAGGGTGGATATATTATGAGATATATTGTTTGCTTTTTTGTCTTTGTGTCGCTATCATATGTAACTTATTTTACTGTAACCACATATATCCGTCAGGGACCAATGAAACCGTTATAGTAATATTAAATATTTTATGCGAAAAACTGATAAACAAAAAATAACACCGAGATCACTCCATGGCTAACAAGTTCAGTGCTCTACCACTGAGGTCAAAGAGTACCAGTCGTCCCCGTGTATTTTCGTTTATGAATCCTCTCACTGTAAGTATGATCACCACACTATGTAATGCCATGTACAAAGACCAAATCATAGAAGTCTATCACAGACTTACAATTATCATTTAATATTTATTATTACGACATATACATATAGTAACACACTGTGTTCTGATAAGCCTATTTGAAAATATTTGGAAATCGCCTTGAAAAGGCATCAGCAAAACCAATTTATAATAATGATAATCCGAATAATAACAGTATGGTTCCAGTTCCTTAGGAGCTTGGCACCCTAATAATATATAGTTTTAATTACTTTTTTCAGATTTTAATCTATAACCAACAACTAACATACTAACTGGGCAATATTTTGCTCCAGTGCACATTAAATATAATAAATAATTAGCGCCGAGTTAGCTGGGTCAAGGGGACATTTACGAATATTTATTTCTAGAGCATAGCCTCCACCAAAATAAATCCTGTAATACGTGCATGTAGTACATCCTGTAATGATCTAAGAACTGTTGAATCATCGCGATCCTAACAACTTTCACGAATTAGAATAATAATGTGCGTAACGTAGTCATGTGTTTCGAATGGTAGCATCGTTAATGAAAAATCACAGTGAATGGGAAGAAAACTGTCAGAAGTTTTGATATTAGAGAAATTAATTTCGACATATTCTGGTGTTTTTCAGTCTAACGTTGTCTTCTTTCAACAACATCTATTTGATCCTGGAACTTCGGAGTTGTTCCAGGAACCAGGAAGCTATTCAGCTTAAAATGACCTTGAGAGGTGTTGAAATTTAGATTAAGCAACCTTTGACAATTCTTCATTTTAAATAGTAATCCATCGTGTATAATTCTTGTTCACTTTAAATCAACTTGATGGCTAAAATCTCTCATATAAAGAAAAATGGCGTTGTGTTTCCATATTAATGTATTTTTTATTATGATATTTACAGACATTATTGTATCAACACTTTTTCTGCTTTTACCTACATAACTTTTCAATAAAGTACGCAATAAAGTATTCATTTTATACAAAATATGTGCTCTCTTTTTTATTAGTACTCAAGTGTTATTTTATCATATTCAAGTTGTATCTTTCATTGGAGCCTATAAGATTGATTAAATCCTGTGTATAATCTTGAGAATAGATATTTTGTAGGATGTGTTACGTATTAGAATTTCAAATGGTCTGAAACCGAGCTAAATGATACTTTAAATTTAGTAGTTAAACTGTACTTTGGATTTAGCAGTTAACTTAAAGGCAATATATAGTCAGTTTATGATATTTTCCAACAAGATTGATATACAGTTTACTTTTTAAACACAAATACATTTAATATACACACAACAATACAATTTACAATAACAGTTATTACAAATAGTTATTACAAACAATGATTTATAAACAAAAGTTTCATAAACTTACAAGCAATATAAAGTCTTCTTTCTAGTCTGGAATTTCCTTGATATCTTATCGAGAGTTTATGATGAGCGAGTTAATTACGAGTTGATGTAGGTATAATTTACTTAACAGGAAGCTAGCTAGCTTTGTCCTTCGTTATTTATCAGCCACACACACCGAGTTTTCCACTGTGACGTTATGTAATGTTTTTGTAAAAATACTGATGTCCCATGAGAATTCACTGAAGTTAAATGAGTTGTAATGTTCGTACTTTGTAAATGCTCCTGGTCAAATATCTGAAGTTTTCCGATTGATAAGTGTTATAATAATCACAGTTATAGCTTATGAAGTTTATAGCACACCGAGTATAGCAAACTAATAAAAGATACTCTCTTTTGGCGCGTCGCGTTGATTATATTTATAAGTGTGTGGAGGCTTTTTCGAATTTTCAGTTTTACGTAACAATACTGAGCTACATTTAAGCGTTTATGTACCTACATATATTGTTCATTCTTACTCTCGAGATTTCCCTCTAGTCTTACACTGCTAAATTAGAGACGGCTAGCGTAGATAGCCCTCGTGTAGCTTTGCGTGAAATTCAAAACAAACAAACAATTCTCTCGAGATTCTTCTACAACTTTGGAGAATAGGTGGGAGTTTCGCAATACATATTTAACACTATAAGCTATGCATGTTTCTAAATATAAATTTAATCTAAACAAACATAAATATTAAAATAAATATATAATAAGAAATTCGTCACAGATGTATTGAATTTTGTGCAGATTATTATATTTACTGAGACCTAGGCAGCATCTTGTAAGAGGTCTTGTCCAAGATTTCAATCGGGAAATTAATAGAATATGTTACATGGACAACATTCCACAAATTATTAATCTATATACTACTATCATATTCACCCTGGTTAGAACAAATAATTATTAATTAAGAGAATGGAGATCTGCGGTCACAACGCAATATTGTATTATACTATTCTGTAATGTACTATTACGACAGCGGAATTCACGTGACGCAGGTAACATGTAATGAGTATCTAGAACGTTCGTGAAGGCTCGAGTGTTTACCAGACGCCCTTTATTTCGTATATATAAGACCGGTGAGAAGTGACGACATATATAGATAATTGAATTGCAGACAGGCAGAGACAGAGACGGACAATTGAGTCAAGTGCGGTAGTAAGGAAAGTGCGTGAATCGTTCGTTGTGAATTATAGCGTGTGTTTAAGCGAAAGTAATTGTGGAAATTAAGTGTATTGCAAAGTTGAATTGAGAAAGAATAAACTAGTTTTATTTAAGAAATAACTTGTATCGCTGAAGTTTCTCGGAAAAAATTTCTACGAAAAATTAGCAAACAACCAGAGATGTAACAGTACAATACTACACTAAACTATACTTCGATATACTATGTTATACAATACTATTTGTTGTTATATTATCTATACTAATACGATGTATGTTTAACGTCAATATCAAACTAGAAACTGCTTTGCGACAAATTCCGTCAACACTTTGACAAGTCATAATTGCCAAACCAAAATATGAAACTGTTGCCTTAGCATAGGCATAGGTATAATATTTTCAGCTTTATTTCCCAATGAAAGGCTTGGACACATACCAAATTTTCATGATATTTATGAAACGAAATAGTCAGAACAGAATTCTTACTATAAGACAGGGATTCTCAACTTTTCCTCCATCATTAACCCCCTCGGCTTGATGTATTTCTCCATTTACCCCCTTACTACCATACAACAAATTAACAGCCATCATAAAGGGACAGAAAAACAAGAAGGCCAGAAAAAAAATATTATTCAGGTTTTGTACAAAAATAGCACACACACACACACACATTCTTTGCACTCTCTCTCTCACACACACACACACACATTTTACAAAATGAAATTTAATTGAATTATTATTCAATCATCAGGTACATCAATTATTTACCCCCTGCCATGTAATTTTTTACCCCAAGGGGTAAATTTACCCCTGGTTAAGAATCACTGCAAAAAGAGATGTCGAGATACATCGACATCAGATTTGTTTTTTTATTGTAAACGGAAAGCTACATAATGGGTTATATGAGCTGCACTCACTTTGGGTATAGAAACCCGGTTTTAGCGTTATCAGCCTTCAGACTTATCGCCTAGCCACTGGGGGCAATATTAACATGAAACCTGAAAAATAATGTTATTTTAAATTCAATTTACTTGAAAAGTGACAATACTGTTGCGTCATCGAGATCACTTGACTATCCTGTACTTTGACAAATGCTCTAGCATTTACTAGATATAGGGTAGCCTGGTATATAAAAGAGGGTGACAACGTGACGGTAAGGTAATGTGTGTGTAAATAGTGAGTAATTGAACTGCAGTCAGAAGTATTCTTGACGTTCGTTGATATGGCGTTTGTTATAGAGCGACTGTTCAAAATAAGTGTATCGTAAAGTTATATTCGGAAAGAATAAACCAGTTTTATTAAGTAAGGACTTGTGTCGCTAAAATTTCGTCGGAACGAATTTACGGGAAATCAATTAACAAACGGAGACGTAACAATACAATACCCATGGCGATGTATAAAGTGCTAAAATTAAATATTGTTTTAAAAACATTTTCTATATATCTTTGGTATATTGTATAATTCTATATTGCTGTAACATATATTTTTAATGTTGTAATGATAAAGGAAACTGCAGGTCGTAATGCTTAGAAAGGTTTAAGATTTGATTTACAATTTTCTTCTACCATACTCGAACTTAGGTTATAAATACAATGTTTCATAAAGCGTCATTAGGTTATTTATAGAGTGAGTTTTTCCGGAAGATAATAGTTTAATTTCGAAATATTGAATGAACCAGTCAGTGTGTCAGCTATCGCGGTTACTTAATTTGTACAAGCAAGTTGATTTATAATTATAATATTTTGGCACTTGTGTATCAAGTTAAAATCAC